CCAAATTAAACAGTATACTATACAAAAACGTTTAAAACTTAAAACTAGGTTTCCTCAAAACCATGTTTAAAGCTTACAATTTTGGCTTTTATATAGGTAACTCTGATTTTAAAACAAAAATCACAAAAGATAAATTTTAATGAAAATGCATAACATGAAAAAAAAAACAGATGATATGTTATATTTAAAAAAAAGTTTTAAGATGCATAACGTTTTATTAAATGTTTTCAAAACCAATTTACCAATCACTTCCTAATACAATTAAAAAAAAATGGTGTTGGACAAAATAACTCTCCTAACCAAGATTTTTGAAAGAAAACCTTACTCCACCACAAATTATAAATCTAGAGAAAAAAAAATCATTTTACCAATTAATCAATGTGAAAGATAAATATCACAGCAAATAGACAAATAAAGTGAGATACAAATACAATCAAACATCAATTATTCTCTCCTTACGATTCAAGATTCTAATGAAATAAACAGATAGATGCATTCCAACATTTCTGTTGAGGATATTCAAATGTCTCTATAGAAGCAAAATATAATATAACATATCTAATCAATAGATTTTTACAATCGTTTTTTTAGGAAACTGTAGTTAATATTGATTTGTGTCAACATAGATGTTTTCTTATATTGTAACAGTCTTTTTTCTTTTTTTGGCCTATAATATTGTATTTGTACAATAATTTGGTGCAAATGTTTAGTTTTCTAACTTAGATAATTATTTATTATAAACACTAAATTATATGATATTAAACAAATAATCAATACATTATAAATTATTGCATATTTTACCATATTACCTTTAAATCTCACGTAACGCGTGGACAATCACTAGTTACTAATATTATTAACATCTCGAAAGTAGCAATAAATATGAAAGAAACAAAAATTCAAGTCTAGATACAACTGTTCCCTATGTGAGCATTAAAGACAACGAGTCCGATTGGTGATCACGTTTGAACAGAACGGTTGAAAGTTTTTGAGCAGTTGAATAAAGGGTCGTTTGGAACAAGGCGGTTAGAAACAGTGGTTAGAGAAAGCGGTTGAATAATAGAAAATAATTCAAATATAAGTTTGATTGGTAGCATTGTAGCGGTTAAATAGTATAATTAGATAAAAATATGTAATATAATTTTTTAAATGATTTTAAAAATATAATGTATTGAAAAATAATTTTAAATTAATAATATGAATTATTAGTAAACATATATTATAATTATTCACTTTCAAACATTAAGCAACTATCCTCTAATTGTTTTATAAATTTAAATAATCATATACGATCAGCCATAGCATATCTACAAATTTTTTTTAAAAAATCGTTATTTTTCGGATAATTCGAGTTAAAATAATTAAATCGAACTAAATGCAAAAAACAACGGTAATTATGAATATTTCGAATAATTTTTAAGCAATACGAGTATGAATATTTCGGGT